TCTCCTCCCCCGACTCTTCATCCTCTTCCTCTTCTTCCTCCTCCTCCTCCTCATGCCCCACTGCACCAACCACGGCCGCGCTGGTGTCCATCACTCACACCAGCATCACACACATCCATGACCCAACAACAGACACCATCCCTCCAACCTCCGACTCCAGGGGTGATGAACAGGACTTCACCTGCTCTCACTGCGACCGCACGTTCATCGGCCACATGCGCATCCACGAGAGCGGAATTGACCGCCCTTCCGACTCACCCACCACGCCAAACCCGATCCCCACTTCATCACCCTTTGCGCCCATCACCGTTATCGCAGACACCACCGACTTCGTCTGCCCACACCGTCCACGCACATTCACCTCTCGCCTCGGCCTGGTCGGTCACTTGCGAATTCATCGCACGGAAACTGGTGAACCAGTGCCCGGAGCACCAACAAATACCCACCGATCTCGACTACACTGCCCACACTGCCTTCACACATTCACGCATCGCATGGGTCTACTCGGACACATGCGCATCCACGACGACCTGCGATAGACAACCGCCGGCTACACCACACCATAAAACCCGCCCTCCCAGCCTTCACCACCACCACCACCACCACCACCAACACCACCACCACCACCACACCTACCACCAGCAACACCACTACCACCACCAAAACCATACATCAACACCCACACACTGCAAGCACCAACCTGCCACCTCCCACGCATTTGGGAAGTGTGCATCTCGACTCGGTCCTCATGCGGCTTCGGCTGCACGGGCGACTTTAGTCTGAGACTATCCCGAAACATCAAGCGTCGTGGATAGGAAGGTTGCTGATTGATGCCCCCACTCGGTCCACGCAGTTTGTTCCGTTGTGTGTGTGTTGTGTGGAGTGGCGGACTGGTGGGCTGAGGAGGGGCTGAAACAACACGTACCTCGAACCTATCACGCAAGTGAGAGACACGCCGTTCAACTCCCGTTGTGCGAAATCCTGGTGTGTGTGTGTATGGGGGGGGGGGTGTAGGGGTGTCCAGCAGTGAATTCACGTGATGGTCGTGGTGGTCGCTCACTTGCTCGCAGGTGAGACTACGCCTAGCGTCCATTTGCTGTCACCTAACTCTTACCTGTGGCTCCACGTAGCTGGGCTCTGCTCAGCGGCCACACCCCGGGCAACCTTCTCGACCGGCCGGCTAAACCAGGTGAGGGTATCCGTGCGTGCACCTGCACGCGCGGTACTGTGGTCTGCGCTGGCCGGATGGATCTTCGCGTCGACATCGTCGAGGCGAGGCTCTGCCTGGACCATCGCAGGAGGCCACCAGGTAAGTTCCCCCTCAGGTAAGTGCATTTGCTCTGTTTCTTCCTTTTGTCTGTTGAAGTTGCGTGTCGTCTGCTGCTCTTGCTGCCTGCCCTCTGTATGCTAGTCTGTCTGCTAATAGCTAGACGAAACCCTTGCTGCCTGCTGCGACTGTCTGTCTGTCTGTCAGTTTATGCCTCTCTCTGCTAATAGCTAGGTTTTACGGTGCTTGACACTTGAATAGTGCCCTCTCACTTCTGTCTCTGACTGATGACTGTGTCTGTTTGTCCACTCTAGCTAGCTGCAAGTCCAATAGCGTTAGGTAGTGTGTATGCTCTCTCCTACTTCACTCCATCACATCACCTCACCACCAAGGTCCCAGGCTAATTCGGGTCGTTCTCTCACTAACAAAAAGTCGTGGCCCATAGTGGAGTCCGGCAGCCGTCTGGGATAACCGGGCAGCCCTGTTCAGGTAGGCGTTGCCTGCCCCCGCGAGGGGGAGGGGGCTAGAAAAGGTGCCCTAAAGATCGCTGGGAACCACGCTGCCTGTAGGATGGCCGTGGCCGCAGACAAAAAACACACGGTCGAAACAGCCAAAACCGAAACAACAACAACAATCACTCTGTTTCTCTTCCAGCCTATTCTTCTTCTTCTCCTTCTCCTAATTTTCGCCGCCGCAGTCGCCAGACTGGCAGGGTGAGCCCGCTCACTCTGGCAGCCTGGAATGTTCGTTCTCTTTTAGACAATCCGAGGGGCAACCGACCGGAACGGAGGACGGCGATAGCGGCACGAGAACTGGCGCGCTACAAAGTGGACATTGCTGCACTCAGCGAGACCCGATTCTCTGAACAAGCCCAACTGGAGGAGATAGGTGCCGGCTACACCTTCTTCTGGAGTGGTCGACCTAGGGCAGAGCGACTTGACGCGGGTGTCGCCTTTGCCATCCGGACCGACATCGTGGGACGAATACCCTGTCTGCCGCAGGGCATCAACAACCGCCTGATGAGTCTCTGCCTGCGTCTCCGACGAGGAGGCAAATTCGCCACCATCATCAGCGCCTACGCTCCGCCGATGACCAGCCCCGACGCCGCCGCAAGAGACAAATTCTACGAGGACCTGCACGCCGCCGATGCAGTCGCTGCCGAGAACGCTTCCGTAGAGAACCGCTGGTGTCGACTGCGAGACACGGTCCAGTCGACGGCGCTCGCCGTCCTCGGTCGCGCTGCCCGACAACACCAGGACTGGTTCGACGACAACGACGCCGCCATCATAAATCTGCTTACTGAGAAGAACCGCCTACACAGAGCCTACGTAGATCATCCCACTGAGGACAACAAAGCTGCCTTCTACCGCAGTCACCGACAGCTTCAGCAACGACTGCGCGAGATGCAGGACGCCTGGACTGCTCGCAAAGCTGAGGAGATCCAAGGGTACGCGGACCGCAACGAATGGTAGAACTTCTTCTCCGCGATCAAAGCTGTCTACGGTCCGCCGACGAAGGGCACTGCTCCTCTCCTCAGCGCCGACGGCAGCACTCTCCTGACTGAGAAGACGCAAATCCTGCAGCGATGGGCCGAGCATTTCCGGGGCGTCCTCAACCGCCCTTCGGTCATCTCCGACGCCGCCATCGCCCGCTTGCCACAAGTGGAGACCAACGTGGACCTCGAACTCCCGCCACCTCTCCAGGAGACCATCAGGGCCCTGCAGCAACTCTCCAGCGGGAAAGCAGCCGGATCGGACGCAATCCCTGCTGGGGTCTACAAGCACGGAGGTCCCCAACTGATGGATCACCTGACTGCGCTCTTCCAGGAGATGTGGCGTCAGGGTGAAGTCCAGCAAGATTTCAAGGACGCAACCATCGTGTATCTCTACAAGCGAAAAGGGAAACGCCAAGTCTGCGACAACCACTGCGGCATCTCCCTACTGAACATCGGCGGGAAGATCTTCGCTCGCATCCTGCTCAACCGCCTCAATAACCATCTGGAACAGGGCCTTCTGCCGGAAAGCCAATGCGGCTTCCGTCGTCATCGTGGGACCACGGATATGACCTTCGCCGCCCGCCAACTTCAGGAGAAGTGCCGGGAGATGCGGACCCACCTGTACTCTACCTTCGTGGACCTGACAAAAGCCTTCGACACGGTGAATCGTGAAGGATTGTGGAAGATCATACAGAAATTCGGCTGTCTGGAGCGATTCACTCAGATGGTGCGTCAGCTGCACGACGATATGATGGCGCGAGTCGCGGAGAACGGAGCTGTATCAGAGGCATTCGCAGTGACCAACGAACTTCTCTTCGCCGACGACTGCGCCCTGAACGCCAAATCCGAAGCGGAGATGCAACGCAGCATGGACCTGTTCTCCGCCGCCTGCGAGAACTTCGGTCTGATCATTAACACGCAGAAGGCGGTGGTGATGCACCAACCTCCGCCCAACTCAGCCACAGCCCCCAACGCGCCGCAAATCAGCGTGGATGGGACTCAACTGCAAGTGGTAGAGAACTTCCCGTACCTGGGAAGTACTCTATCTCGCAACACAAAGATCGATGACGAAGTCGCCAACAGGATTTCGAAAGCCAGTCAAGGCTTCGGACGCCTCCAAAGCACAGTTTGGAATCTCCACGGTCTCCAACTGAGCACGAAGCTGAAAATGTACAAGGCCGTCATCCTGCCGACGCTACTTTACGGAGCGGAGACTTGGACGGTGTACACGAGACAGGCACGCCGACTGAACCACTTCCACCTCAGTTGTCTCCGTCGCATCCTGAGGCTGAACTGGCAGGATCGAATCCCCGAAACGGAAGTACTGGAACGAACGGGAATCCTCAGCATCTACGCCATACTGAAACAAATGCAGCTGCGTTGGAGCGGCCACCTGGTGCGCATGGACGACCAGCGACTACCCAAACGACTCTTCTACGGAGACGGGTTCTCGTCGTCAAGGAGGCCAAATTCGCCGTTACAAGGATACTCTGAAGTCCTCCCTGAAACGCCTGCGAATCAACCCGACCAACTTGGAAGATCTCGCCCGCGATCGTCCGACATGGAGGAGAACAGTGAAGACGGGCGCTGCTATCTATGAAGCCAACCGAATCGCCGCCGCCAAAGCGAAACGCGAAGCCCGAAAAATCACAACTTCGCCCAGTCCGCACCGCCGCCGCACAACCCTTCCCTACGTGTCCTCGATGTCAACGGACATTCCGGGCACGAATCGGACTTGTTGGACATCTTCGAACCATCTGTGCCTCTCGAACTGATCCAGCCATCGTCCCCCCGCCCGCCTCTTCCTCGTCCTCTCTGCTGCCAACAAACTCTGATAACTCTTCTGCACCACCACTTCCATCCTCCTCCTTCTCCTCCACTGCCCCAGCGGTGGCCGTTCAGGCTGCCGTCTCACACATCACCAACCACCCCCACCTCTCCCGATACCACTGATGAGGGTCAGAACTACACCTGCCCACACTGCGACCGCACCTTCACCTTACGCATCGGCCTGGTCGGTCACTTGCGAATCCATCGCACAGAGACTGGCGAACCAGTGCCTGAAGCACCAACCTACACCCACCGCACTCGCCTCCACTGCCCACACTGCACTCGCACATTCACGCATCGCATGGGCCTTTTCGGCCACATGCGCATCCACGGGGGCGGAATCGACCACAATTCCGATACACCAACCACGCCCGTCATGCCCAGCACCACCCTCGCACCGTCCATCTGCGCCACCACCAACGCCTCCTCTGTAGCTGACACTGACACCGCTGCTTTCACATGCCCACACTGTCCACGCACATTCACCTCACGCATCGGCCTGGCCGGTCACTTGTGAATCCACCACATTGAGCCTGGTGTATCATTGCCAAGCACACTAAATTACACACGTCGCATACGCCCCAACTGCATAAACTGCCCAAGGACTGCCGGTCATCGCATGGGCCCATTTGCCAACGTGAGCCCCCGCCAGTCTTCGATAAGACCCCACTCTGGATACCTTCATCGCGTCTGTCCCTGTTTGCCCACACACGCATTTGTTGCCACTTTGATTTTCCCAGAACACCAGGCACCAAATCTGGCGATAATCACACCGCTTTCTATCAGCAAACATTTGGTTCGCTTCGTCATTGCCGAAGTGACCGGCGCAACTATACATACTAAAACATGTACATCCTACTTGAGTTGGGGTTGCTTTTTCTTCTCACCATTGGCCTTTCCTCTATGAACCATCATTAGCAGCTTACATACGAAAAACATAAGAAGAAAAATAGGTATTTCTCATCAACAGAAGAACCCTCTTTACTATTATGTGAAACAATAGGTAAATGCGTGTGTTAGACTGGAAGTTTCATTTTTCAAATCTTCCTTCTACTGTTGTTTCCGCTCTTGTAGGAGTTATAGGGCCAACTATTTACAATGCGACGTTTCAAGTTAGAAGTTCTGATTTAGGACTCGCTGCCGGTAGGACTCTCGCCTTTGTGGGACACTGAAGTTAAAACAAAACATCGGTTAATACGCACCTCCACCTTCAAAAGCGACTACGTTCGTAGTATGTGGCGTTCGGCATGAATATGTAAATATAACGGTGCTAAACGACCAAATCCTATGAAATGTGTTACTTGTAGATGGTTGAAATGGGAAGAACAAACATGCTGCTTGGACTTGAGTGGACAGACTTGACAAGAAGTGTTGTGAGTAAAGTGAACGGTAGATTCGCAATTTCAGATGAAAAGTCTGGATAAGTAGAATAACAGAAGACGGCAAAAGTTAAAATTCAGAAACTCCTGGGAGCTGTTCATTGAGGAGGAAGGGAAAACGAGATAGGAAAGTTGACGCGAAGAGAAGGGCGGACGAAAGAAGAAAAGCCATAGAAATAGACAGTAT